GACGACCCTAATCCGCTTCAGCATTCCAAATCTCCACCCTCTCGCCGCCGGCGACTCCCGCTCCGGCAAGGAATCCTCACAAATCCCTCCGGCACCGGCCCGAGCACAGCGCGGGTTCACCATGGTAAAGAACTTCCGCAAGCGAACCCTCGAGTCGGACGCCGCCGACAACTCCGACGACGAGGGCACCCGCCGGTACCCTTCTCCCGCTCCCCCTCTCTTGCCCCGTTAGGGTTTCTTGCTGATGCCTCCTGCCCTTCACCCCTCGCAGCGTTTCTCTGGAGGAGGTCAGGTACACGCAGAAGCTCCGGGAGAGGAAGCTGGGCATCCCCGCGGCGTCCGTGGCCACCGGCGCCGGCGCCGCCACCGCCACCACTGACGGGTCCTCCGCTCGGGGCCGAGGTGGCAGCGGGGCAGGGGCAGCGGGCGAGGAGGACCTTGTGCTACAGGACACCTTTGCGCAGGAGACCGCTGTTACCATCGAAGACCCCAATATGTGCGTTGTTGCATCTGCATCTGCTTATTCTTGCCAATCCGATTTTCATAACTGACTCTCATCGTTGAAGGTTGAGGTATGTGGAGAACGAGCTGTTGAAGAAGAGGGGCAAGACGATTGAGGTGAACGACAAGGACGATAAGGACGAGGTGGATGAGCTCTATGTCGTGCCGGACCACCTGAAGGTTTGTTTGTGGCTGAACAGCCCTGTGATTCAATCCTCAGGGTGAGATTTGTTGTGGGGCTGCAATGACATTGTGTTGTATTGTTTGCTTGCAGGTGAGGAAGAAGAACATGGAGGAGAGCTCAACCCAGTGGACCACCGGCATCGCTGAAGTTCAGCTGCCCATCGAGTTTGTGCTTGCACCCCCTTTTTCTGTCTTTATTTAGAGTAAAACTTGCTAAATTTATGTCATTATGTTGGGTTGAGAGGGGAAGGTGCCTAAAAGAAGTCTCAAGTGCTGTGCCGTGTATTCCCTCCATCCCATAATATAAGAACGCTGTTGACACTACAGTGGTGTAGAAAACGTTCTTATATTATGGGACGGAGGGAGTACTTGTTATTGTTGCCAATATCGATCAGTGAGGGAGAGCAATTTACTACTGTTCTGAAATCTCTAGATAAGTGCATGAAACCTACCTGTTAATTCCCATTTGTGCACATCAGTTATAACCTGTGCCAACTATTCGGTCCAATGGTCCATTGTCGACAAAGTTTCTTTGCTGGGTGCTGGCAGTTCTACTTCCAATGTTTGTTGCATTTAATCAGCTAGATAGGTTTAATTTTGTGTGAACTCCAAGCTTCCTCTTTTTTAGAGTTAATTTACAATTTTTATTTTTCATGATTAGCAAAATCCTTGCAGCCTTCTAGGAAAGCATTCGGATCTCATTTGGTGTCATTACGTGTGCTATGCATTTTATCCATGTAATATCTGCAATGCTGATTCAAGATTGCTTTGCAAAGAGTGTGGTCGATCATGGCTAGTGTACTGATCTTCTTTGTCATTGATGCGTGCTATTAGCAACTGAACTATTAAGTTGTGCAAGGATTCAGAAAACCTACAGACATATCTCTGCTACACTAATGCTATTGTTGGTATTTGAGGCGTAACAGTGTGTGGTTAATATCTAGGTTAATTAAATTTCTTCCTGTCAATTTCTCATGGATACGAAATTTTTCAGTCATATAACCTGGTTTCTTGCTTACGATAATTCGATTTGGTGATATATCATGTTTCTTGCTTTCTAGTTATCATCAATTCATTGTTGCTTTCTTAATTGTTACAGGTATAAATTGAGAAATATTGAAGAAACCGAGGCAGCCAAAAAATTGCTGCAGGAGAGAAGGCTTGCTGGTAAAACAAAATCAGATGCAAACATTCCATCAAGTTACAGTGCTGATTATTTCCATCGTGGGAGAGATTATGCTGAAAAATTGCGAAGAGGTTTGTATACACTTAAGGTCATTTCCTTAGTTTTATTTTCTTAGTGAGGACATGTATCACTGTTACATGAAATATTTATATGATATTGCTCGGCATGCTATGTGTCAAGAAGACAGTTATGTTCCTGTAGCAGAACTCTTCAGAGAGTATCTGCTATTGGTATTTTGAGGCTGTGGTAGGATTAGTTTAGAAAGTTGAATGTAAGATTTAATTTATGTTTTCCTATCATAAAAAATGCATCTATGCTTCTGCAAATTGACGTCCCATGGAAAATCTAGTGGCAGGCCAGTGATGCTATTATGTTGTTGAAATGCAGTCAGTGTCATGTTATTGATGTCACATCTTTGTTATGTTTATTCTCATTTGAGGGTACTAAACCATTGCTTACAATGCAGAACATCCTGAGTTGTACAAAGGTCAAGATTCACAAGCTAATGAAAATGGAGGCAAACCAACAGATAGTAACAATCCAGGTGGTCCACCTGCAGGACGTAGAGAAGCTGCTACCGATGAATTGTTGCTCGAGCGTTTCCGCAAGCGAGAGAAATTCCGTGTCATGCGAAGATAGCAATAGCTGACCTAGCAGGCTGCTGGCTTGGCGCTGTTGCCCTTTAAGCAGAAAACATGTTAGTGGCAACACACGATTGTCATATATGTTGGGTTATTCCTGAAAACCCACACTAAAGCAGGTAGGCTCCCTTGGTTGGTTACTCTGCTTCTGCAGCTCCTGTTATGGAGAAAGAAGCACAGACTTATTACAGAGGAGCTATGAAACAGATTTGAGTGGGTCTGTTTCCTTCATTGTGCTGCATCGATCTGGGGGCTTCATACAGTTTGAAGTGGATGTCAAATTGCAGGAGCCACTCTAATTGTAGACTCTTATTTGTAGTGTAGGAGGAAACTCTGTTCACTTTACTATGCTGAAAGAAACTCTGTTCTCATTTGTGCTCTCTTCTGCTATGCTATGCGTGGGCGGCATCTTGAGCCAAGGGTGGTCGCAGGTTTTTGTGCATTTTCTTATGTTCACTTTAGCCTGGTGCAATTTTGTGCGCAATATACGTTCATCAATCTGGCCTGCAAGTGCAATCTGCTTGTGTGAATTGCTCACAGCTTTTTTGCAGTTCTGCTGCAGTATCTTCATCAATTTGTACTCCTATTCAACCGTTTACAGTTTCTTCAGTTTACAAAGTTAAGTTATGATTAAACTAAACTAAAGCTTAGAAAGAGCCTGAATGGGGATGTCGTGGGGACCAACTCCTCCTTTGTCGTGATGATGGTGGCGGGCGTTCAATTTTGGTGCAAACACCAATTGATATAAGGCATGAATAATTTCTCTGATTTTTACCCTAAAAAAAAGAATAATTTCTCTGATTTTAAGGGCAAAGGGTAAACCTTTACTACATACCATACTAAACATTTAACACTCTGGTGCACCAAACTTGAACTATTTTTTTACTTGTTCCATAACTATTCAGCTTCCATAGACATCATTTATTGTTAAACTGAATGCATACAATGACACAGTGACTGCTATCTTCTGTAAGCAATTTTGGAGCCAGTTTGGTGATAATGACCCCACATCTTTCAGACTGCATTCCAAAAGAAATAACTCAACATAGTGTACATTATCTTTCTAGGATTCTTCTCAAGCTACTAACAGATTTGCAACGGTTGGGTGTTGGTACTATGAGATGACACAAATGAACTTTTCCCAAGTGTGTAATACTTATTCAACAAAAATACTTTTCTACAATTTTCAACTTTTTGCATACACATTTGTTTTTTCTGTATATTTTTGTGTATACAACTATACATGACACACATTTTCTCTGTATGCATTTAACATTTTTTGCAATTGCTTGGTTAACATTTTTTTAAATGTTTTGCACGTAAATATTGACAGTTAGTTCTTCTTTTCTCGATCTGTTACTATAACAGGTTGCTCCTACCCATGCGACCAGGGTTCAACCTTGGTACTCCATTTTTAGTTTTTTTTTCAGTGGATCCATTTTTTGTTTTTCTGTGTGTTCCAGCAGCAACTGTATAAACACTTCGCGGGCCGGCCCATTCGCAAGATCGCTTTAGCGAGAGAGCGATCAGCGCCCGTTTTTGCCGCTTGCAACTTTCTGTCATTAGCTCAAGGTCCTGGGCTGAAGACGCCACCCACCCACCGATCGGCCCAGCTCGGCCTCACGTCAGGAACACTGGGCCTTAGCCCATCATTCCTCCACCGCAGGCCGCAGGATAAAATGGTGATCTTCCCAGCCACGCCGGCCCCTAGGGTTCCTTCCACCAAGAGAGGAAAGGGGATCGGGTGTCAGTAATGCGCCGCCGCCTGCCGTGCGCCCATCTCCACTCTCTCGCCGTCGCCGTCGCCGTCGCCGTCGGATGCCTCGAATGAGGATCCACCGGTGCTTGAGCAGAGGCGACCAAATAAGCAGCTTCCCCTTTGGGAGCTGCAGCCCCCAATCGAAGCGCTCCTTTCCGAGCAATCGAAGCAATCAAGCGGCGGCTCCTCTCTGAGCCGCAGTCGGAAATCGAAGCGCCTCCCTTTTTTTAGTGGCTAATCCGGAATCAAAGCAGTCCTTCCCGGGCTACAATCAGAATCAGGTCCTCTTTCGAATTCGTTCTCCCCTTTCGGATAATTTCCAATATTTAAACGAGAGTTTCCATTGGTGTCGGGAACCCAGCAGTTAAATATCTCTGGCCTGGCGGCACCGCGGCACCCGCCAATCTTCGGAGAAGACGCAGCAGCAACTCCTTATTAAACATCAGTTTTTAGACTGACCGGAGGCAACTTGGGCGATGGCGAGGACTAGTAGCCGGCGACGGGCTGCCAAATTGATGGCCAAGCCATCCGGTTCGACCATGGTGGTGAGTTCCTCCGAATGACTTAATTTTCCTTAGCAACCAGGGGTCAAATTTCAGTCTTTCAGGCAGTATCAAGATCGTATCACATCTATCTTTTTTTGGTACAAATTAAATTGAATTTTGTGTTATCTTACGTAAATCAAATCTGCATCTTTGCGACACTAGACAAATTGTATCTCTGAGACAATCAAACTTGCATGTTTTGCGACTTACAATATTGCATAACTGACTGTATGGTGATATCAACTCTAATCTGTTTTGAGTGCCAAATGCAGAAAGGCAGTCCAGACGATAGGATCAGCAGCTTGCCCAATGACATCCTGGTCAACATTCTCAACCGGCTCGATGTTCGCGCCGCTACGAGAACCAGTGTCCTCTCGAGACGGTGGAGTCAGCTTCCTGCCATGGTCCCACAGCTTACAATCAGTGCTCGGGACCTCCTGCCGTCAGAAACTAAAACCAGCATTTCCAAAGTTGAAATTGTTCGGAGGGCCACTGCAGCTGTGGCCAAAGATCCGGCCAATGCAGCACTGTCCAATGCTGAATTGGTTCGGAGGACCAGTGCAGCTGTTGCCAAAGCCTTGGCTGATGCAGCAGCTGTAGCCAAAGCCTTGGCCGATGCAGCAGCTGTGGCCAAAGCTGTGGCCAATACAGCTGTAGCCAAAGTGATAAAGAGCATACTGGCATGCAGGGATCCGGGTGGATGGCCCATTCGCCTCAGCATGACCTTCTACTTGAGAGACGGTGTCCCCATATCTGTTGGGCATACTGTTGGCAATGCCATGGCGACACTCAAGGTTGAGAAAGCTGAATTCACAGTTTTGACAGAGAAGGAGGGACGCAAGTGCAGTATTGATGATGTGGTGAACTATGGGACACGGTTTGTGTCATTTTTTAATGAATGCCACAATGCATTTGCTGGTCTCACACGCCTCTACCTGGAGAATTTGAGATTCCGTGAATCCAACTTTGTCTCTAACATCCTTGTCACTTGCAAGCAATTAAATTATTTAGGTTTTTTCAATTGTGACACAGAGGATTGGATAACACTCCAAGTTGAACACGCACAGCTCATTGAGCTCAGTATTGTTGATTGCCGTTTTGACATGGTCAAACTCACCTGGGTTCCGAAACTCACCTGGCTGGTGTTTTTGTTTTGGATAACTTCCAGAGATCCTCCACTGGCACTGGGCTATGTCCCATTGCTCGAGGTTCTGAGACTTTCAAATGCTGCTCGTAGTTTGGACAAAATGCTGAAGTTAAGTACTTTTCTTCACGAGACCTCTATTCGAGACCTGACGTTGGGGTTTCAATGCGAAAAGGTAAGCTGTGGGTTGATTGCTTTGTTCTGGTTTCACTTGTTTTCTACTCACCCTATCATGTGCTTATTGCAGATTTGGGTTCAACCAGAGTGTTTGACCAGGAGGCAGGCATATGTGTTCCAGCAATTAAGGATTCTCAATCTAGTTAAAATTCCTGAAGGGTATGATCTCACCTGGACAATGTTCTTCTTGGAAGCGGCGCCGTCCCTGGAGGAGCTCTACATGACGGTATGTTCTTATAGTAGCTAATAAAGCTTGTTCTATTCTTTCTTTTTTTGAGGAATTGCTCTACCACGCAACTGCATGTTCTGCACCTCCAGTCTTTTGTTTGAAGGATTGGTCTGTTATCTTTGTTGCATGATTGCATGCACCTGTGCTTTCACTTGGAGTGCAAACTTAACCTGTTTGATTTACCTTTGTCCTATGGGTGGCATGCATGTAGGTATGGGAGCATCCATGTGAAATGGAAATGAATCAGGAGATTAGGAGGGAGCAGTCGTATAGTGAGAACAAGGGCGTTGAATGGGAATCGCCTACATCAAATTTCAAGCACCACTGTCTGGCCAAGTTCATCCTCGTCGGCTTTCAAGCTAAAGACTACATGGTGACTCATGTCAGGCGTGTCCTGAAAGCAGCGGTGAATCTACAGGATGTCTACCTGTATGATAGACTGGTATGTGCCAAGTGCCAAGAGAAAGTAAAGATTGCGCGCAGGTATGATGCACTGGTACGTGGCATGTGCCCAGGCGTGAATCAGCCTATAAAGTTCCCATGTACAAACGAGGACCAGCGTGCAGTGCAGAAGCGAATGCCCCGGGGCATTGGGTCACTTGCCAAAATCCACTTCCTGCCATCTAATCAAATAAGGGCTGAACATCGTCCAAGGATAGCTGTAGATTCTTTGGGTGCCATTGAAGATTAGCTGGAGGTTGTCCTTGTATAGCTAAATTTAGTTGAATATTATTGTCCGTGAATTCAAGAATTTTCATGATCGAGTTAAATTTCATACAAGTGCATTGAGTTGTATTGATCTGAGTGGCTGTTAGCATAAAGTTGATATGGTTTATATATTCGATAAATGTAACTTCCGAATGATAGGAAATCAACCAAAGATCCGAACGATGTTGCTGGATCCTCCCGGTTTCCTTGGCTCCTCGCTAGTAATCCTTTGTCGCCTGTTTTTATTTCGTGCTAATGTGAGATTCGAAACTTGAACCTCAGCAAACTCAGCTAGTCTAGCACCTCAGCTACGTTCTGTTTCTTGTAAGATTGAAAAGCAAATATACTCCCTCCGTCCCATAATATAAGAACGTTTTTGACACTATACTAAAAACGTTCTTATATTATGGGACAAAGGGAATACTATTTAACCTGTCTACACTCCTATATTTGCACACCAACAAGTTAGTTCAGTTTCTGATTTTTTTCGCACTTAATTTGATTTTTTACCAATCGAACCTAGTGGTCGGCGAACAAGCAACCTTTGGACGTCACAACAGGCATGGAAACTATTTAAAAGTTTCCATTTCACCCCTTTGGTTTTTAAAAGTTATTTGGCAAGTGTTCCTATTTTTTTTTTTGAAATACCTTTGAACGTCTCGCTTGATAACTTTGGTAACTCATGTGTAAATTGTATGGTAATATACGCACAACAGGCATGGTAACTATTTGATCTGAGAGAGAAAAGATGTTGAAAAACATCCTCTGATAACTCATGTGTAAATGCCATGATAATATATGCACGATAACTTACTTAGCCCAGATGTGATAACTTTTTTGACCTGAGAAAATAAACTGTTGAAAAACACCCCAATACGCATGTGTAAATAGTAGTGTGATAACTTTTCTGTTATTTATTTTCATGAGCTTTCTCTAGCGCATCGTAGTTGTTCCACTTCATCATGGTAGTAGGCATCTCCACCAATGCTGGGAGGATAGTGACGGCGTTGTCGGTGATGTGATTAATGAGGCTTCTACAGGATAATCAGTCCGAGAGGTAGGATATTTTGGCAAAGGGGAGGTGGCAGGTAGTCTCGAAAGGATGGTAATTTATGCATCACAGACATGGTAGGTTACATACTGGTAACTTTGGTCCGGGGGAAAAAAGTTGTTGAAACATACCACCCGATAAAGTCTATGTGAATAGCATGGTGCCTTGCACACTACGGGCCTGATAACTTACGTGCAAACACTTTGATTCATATTTTTTTTAATAAAATATACTATGATAAATTATGTGTGAATAGTACGATAACTTATGTGCAAATGCGACGGTAAAATCATAAATATATACCGGTAAATTATATATGAACATCATGGTAATTTATACATGACAGACCTGATAACTTACGTGCAAACACCATGGTAATCTTTTTTTACCAGGAAAAAAAGTTGATGAAAAATACCCTCAATAACTTCTTTTTGTGAATAGCATGGTAATTTACACAAGCGGACCTAATAATTTAAGCACAACACCATGGTAATAGTGGCGGTGCCAGCACCAAAAAGTTGTGGGTTCAAATGCACTAATCTCTCTAAAATCTCCTAATTTTTTACACAAATATTAAAAGAACTAGGCTTGCAATCAAAAACCTGTGGGGTCAGCTGACCCCATAGGTTATACATGAAAAT